TAATGTCTGTATGTTGGATCATTTTGATGAGCCTTTGAAATCTGTTACTTTTATTTAAGAAAATGATCCTTGTGCAGCTTTCTTTATATTCGGTTCCAGCAATGCAAATAAAAGAAACAAAATTGTATTTAATACAGAAATTGCAGTCTTTTGTGTTAGGCAATGATTTTTCGTATACAGAATCAACTCTGATCTATTTGATTACATTTAAGTACAAACATATACATATATTCATGCATGAAAGCATTTTCTGAAGTGAAATCTAAAGTGTATCAAATTTTAAGGAAATAAATTTAAAGAAAAAAGAATGCTAGTCTGCTTTTTACTCATCACGCAAGAGCACCACTGATTAGACAAATTACATACTGCTTTCTCACTATCTCTACCTCCTTTGTGTCCTTATGCAGAAATACATGTTTCTTCTTGGGCGTGTATCTGTGTGGGTTGGTTTTTTTTTTTTTTTTTTAAGATGGAGTTTCGCTATTGTTGCCCAGGCTGGAGTACAATGGTACCATCTCTGCTCACCACAACCTCTGCCTCCCAGGTTCAAGTGATTCTGTTGTCTCAGCTTCCTGAGTAGCTGGGATTACAAGTGCCCATCATCACGCCCAGCTAACTTTTTGTATTTTTAGTAGAGACGGGTTTCACCATGTTGGCCAGGCTGGTCTTAAACCCCTGACCTCAAGTGATCTGTCTACCTTGGCCTCTCAAAGTGCAGGGATTGCAGGCGTGAGCCACCCCACCCGGCCATGTGAGGTTTTTTCGTTGTTTAGACTAAATTTTCTTTAGTGTTCTGAAACAACAATAGTGAGTGAATTGATTAACTGGGATCACAGATCCACTTTCACATTTTCATTATCGACCATAATAATTTGTTCTAATTCAGCTTGTGCTGTTTCGTTACAATCCATGACTATCAGTAAAAAAAATTTCACAAGTAGGCAAGTGGTGTATTTCCTGGCAGAAAGCTGATCGCTGTCAGCAATCATTAAAGCTCTAATCTTAAGATTAATATTGATAATATTGAGTGATAAAATCATGAATAGAACACTGAATAATAACTTGCAGTTATTCTTTTTTTTTTTTTTTTGAGACGAAGTTGCCCAGGCTGGAAGGCAATGGCGTTATCTCGGCTCACTGCAACCTCCACCTCCTGGGTTCAAGCAATTCTCTTGCCTCAGCCTCCGGATTACAGGCACCCGCCACCACACCCAGCTAATTACTGTATTCTTAGTAGAGGCGGGGTTTCACCATGTTGGCCAGGCTGGTCTCGAACTCCTGACCTCAAGTGACCCGCCCACCTCGGCCTCCCAGTGTTTTCTTTTTCTGTTCACCAGAGCTTAGGAAAATCACAGAATTGACAGCTCTGGAGGGCAGCCCATTTGGCAAGTCCCACTGATGTTTTTAAAGCATTAGACAAAGTCTTTATCTTCCTGGCATTTCAACAGCACCCACGCTATTTGTCCTTACACTGTGTACAGAGCTTTCCTGGTGAGCCAGGAGATGGGGATTGCGGAACAGGAGCATCCTTAAACGCTGTTTTTTTACACTGAAATTCTCATTTGGTGAGGGTGTTTTGTATACAAATGTGTTAAAATTACTTGCAATGCTAGAAGATTGGAAATGACTGACAATCCCCCCCACTAACACTTCTTTTTGCTTACTTATTTTGGATATAGCAGAAAAAAATTTTCTCATTCTCAACTGCTCTTTACATGTGAGCATTTTATAATTGCTTTAAACATAAAAGGCACATTTTAAAAGAAAGCACTTTTCGTTTAATGTGCGTGTGTGTGTGTGTGTGTGTGTGTGTGTGTAAAACAGGGTCCGTGAAAATCTAAAATTATTTCTAGTTGGGGCCTTGTCCATGATTTCAGCCTGTACTCAACCTTAACAGCCTAAGTCACATGGATGCATTCGTGATACCGTTTCTGATGAATGGCTTCTATCACAATTTGATAATGTTGTACATGCACGTCAAACCAGCTACAGATACTTTTGGCAATGGAATCCAAAGAACTCTGCTAGCTCTAAGAACAAGAATGATCTCTGTGAAACGGAAACATTTCTAGAGATGAACATATTCGTTCAAATATCTAGCTTTAATCATTTTCTCAACTATTTCAAACACATTCCTCAAATAGTTCGTTTAATATGTATTACCCTAGCTTAATTCTCCCATGTATCTTAAAACTCTTTTATAGTAAGAAACAGTTGTTGAGACATTATTTCTCATTTGAGTTTGTTTATCCAACTTTCGAGTAACAATTTTGTTATTTTAAATAGCAAATGAAGAATTAGAGTATTTAAACATTCTTTCATACTTGTTGGAAGTTTTTAAAAAAATTTTCCGTGACCAGGCATGGTACACCTGTATTCCTGAACATTGGGAAGCCAAGGAAGTTGGATCGCTCGAACCCAGGAGTTCAACACCAGCCTGGGCAACATAGTAAGACCTCATCTCTATTAAAAAAAAAATTGGCTGGGAATAGTGGTGCAGGCCTGTGGTACCAGCTAGTCGGGGGCTGAGGCCGGAGGATCACTTCAGCCCAGGAGGTTGAGGCTGGCAGTGAGTTGTGTTCACACCACTGCACTCCGGCCTGGGTGACAGAGCGAGACTGTCTCAAAAAAACAACAGCAACAAAGAAAAGTTTTGTGCATGGAGAGGTGGTATCTATATTAAAAAAAAAAAAAAAAAGTATCTGGGAGAACTGGAAAAACTTTGCTTTTGGTTGTAGTATTTTGGAAACTGAGGCATTTATCAACTTGAAGCAGCTTGCACTTGGAAAAGGATTAGTTCAGTTTACTCTGAAGGACAAATTAGCCGTAGAGTAATTCTTACTAGCGTTAACCTGCAGAGAAAAGCATAGTTGTGAAATTATTTCTGAATTAAACCACTCTATTGACATGTATGCGCTGAGTGATGGATTCTCTGGTTTTGTAATTTCTAGAAAGTTTCTCTGTTGAGCCTTCCTGAGCCTGCTGTTTAAATGTTTGTTGCATTCTCTTCTGTCTGTCTCAGCACTGATGTCGGTACCCACGTCTGTGGTGTACACCCTAGTTTTAGACTGCCTGCGGTTACAGTGACTGGATCCCTTATCTCATCTCTGAGCCATTAACAGCAATTACTTGACTCCAGTCCTTTCACTTGCTTCTCAGTGGCACAAGACAATGAGAAACATACAACATCAACAACAAAAGTGAATTAAGTTTTGTTTAGCAAATATTTTGGCACAACATTGTTAGAAATACTTGAAAGAGTGTGAAGGATATTATGTAGCCATTTTAGCAACTCTTGTTATTCAATGTCAGTCGGACATCACCCTCATCCATAATGAACGCTTTCATGGTACTTCTATGTGCTTGGTCTGATTGTGTAAGCACTTTATATAGATGAATGCACAGAAACTAACAACCAAATGAGTAGAACAATTACATGCCCTTGTTACAGATAAAGGAAAACCAGAGTCAAATAACTTGCCCAAGATTACACAGCCAGTAAGTGGTGGTGGTGGGATGCAAGCCCAGAGCCTCAATGGGGTATTCTTTATGGCAGATAATTACAGTATGTGAAAGAGTTCTTGGAATTTCCATCATTAAAATATAATCTAAATCACTCTGAGCTTTTGCTTGTTTAAAACAACTATAAGTAAAGAAGTATAGAGGTTAACTAATAGCAAGTGACATCATGGTTAACCCCATGGTTAATTTTGGTTGAAAACAAGCACCAGCAGATTGAAAATATGGGCTGATGATCAATATGCATGACTCTGAAATAATTTGAAATTTGATATATTTTTCCACTTGATTTTAATCACTAGAAAAGCATCACATTTAGATAATTGTTACAATGGTTTAAAGTTTACCCAAATCTTTCTAGAAGATTTAAGTTTTACTAGCCCTCTCTAATTGATGATTCTTCAGTCAATCCCACAGTCTCATCTTAATCATCCTACAAATGCTCAAGCTACTCTCATTTCCGTGGGCAGTCCAATGTCCTGTGATGCCCTTTCCCTCCTGAGGTGTTAGGAAGGCTCTGTTTAACCATACCTCAGATGGAGAGAGAAAGGTAGGATTGAGAAAATTAGAAGTGCATTAAGAATAAAATATGATCATTTAAGCTACTTGTTTTCTTTTAAAAATTTTTATTTTATACTTCATAGAATTTTGGAGATAAAACTAAAATAGTAATATAAAACTTCATTGTCTTTAAGTTAGAATAGACTTATTGATGTTTCACAGAGAATTATAGATGCTTCCCAAATACCACCTGTCCTTCTATAGATTAACTCAGATGCATCTTCATAAATCCTAGAGAAAATAATGCTCTTAAGATTATAATCAATAGTCATTTCATTGTTTGCTTTTCAAGCAAATTAGTGATAAAGCTTATAATTTTTCAGCTCGTCATATTAATAAAATTTACTACTTTTAGATTCTTTACTAGATGATTTTTTAGCTTGATCCTAAAACTGGACTATGGTTCTAGGACGAGATGATAAACAAATTATTCTGTTGTCAACTAGCATAAACTCCTTCTGCAAACATTTTATTACATATACAGAAAAAGCTAGAAGTTTTAGAGCATATAGGATAAAAATAAAGATTTAAAAAAAAAAAAAAGTGGAACCCTTTCTGGTAAGAACTTAATTTTCCTAGTTATTTTGAGCCCATATTTAAATCTGATGATCCAACCGTATGTGGGGACATGCAGGCAGCATTGCTTCTTATTTCATTATGCACTCCACTCTGACATCCAAGGCAACAGATCTTACATAGGTATATGCCAGAAGTGCAGGGCTCACACTCGGTGGCCACAAATAACTTCTTCTGTGACATATTGAGTAGGATATTAGGTGAGAAGGTAGGGTAAGCCCTCAGGATCAGGGCAGGGCGAACACCCAGGCGCTGACATGAATGGCCCCACACATACATGGTGTACATCAGACCCCAGTGACATTCATTTTCAAGCTGATAGGTTACCAAGGAAGGGGCCTTACCCGGGCCTTCTGCTCCATTTCTAGCATTAATCTTTCATGTTGCTCAGCTATGGCCAATGTTGCAGAATGGACCTTCTGATAGATCATTTCTCCTTCCCTCGTTTGAAAAGTGAATAGTCCTTCTCCTGTGTCACACATTCTGTGAGAACAGATAGGGAAAGAGATGGGTCTCCATGTGTTCAAGTACGTAAGTTTTCCACGTAGACAAAACCCCTACCCTTGTGCCTCTTCCTCCTGATCTCCACAGGAGTTAGTGAGGCTGATTCAGCCATAAGCAAACGAACCAAAAAATGTATCTTTAAATGGTACATGAAAATGGAACTTAAAATAAAAATCCATGTATATTTGGATGTCTAAAAAGGAAGCATTCACAACAGTGTAAAGGAACAAAATGATTTAGATAATGACAGTGGGTGCTTTCCAGTATTTAAAGATTAAAAACAAATGAATTACAGTATTTTTATCTGCCATTATGATATAGACTATTATGGACAAACTGTTATGCAGTTATGTCATTTCTGAGAGCATATAATAAAATTCTTACGTCAATTCAGGGAAAAATCAGAATGCAAATTCTTCCACTAATTAGAATTACTTTTTAAAAACATTGGGAAAATTCCACTAACAAGTTGTTATTCAATAGGATTATAGGTAAGTTTTATTAACAAAGGCTAACTCTAAAATGGAAAATAATATTTTAAGCTAGCTTTTAAGTTTTCAGAAAGACCCACCCAATATCAATATGCTAATATTTGGATATTGGCTATTAACTGGATTTCTGTGTTGATTTTTCAGGTTACAACATCAAGCAATTTTCAAGTTATAACATAAAAATATTCATGAGGAAAACTTTCTTTGAGCACCAGAAAGATTTTAGATTCTTCTGATTCTCCAAGGAGTTTTCAATAGAAATGTCTCAAGAGGCTCCCGACATTACAGAGGCTGCAACTGTGATCCCTTAGGGCCCTATAGAGCCAGCACTTAGCTTCTCTGAAAGAGATCTTAATAAAATTCACACAGTGTGAAATGGAAAGTCTGGGGAAAAAATGAAGAGTTTTCACAAAGTGAAACAAATGAGCTTCCTTTGTTGATTCAGAGTAAGGAGCATCAGCAACAAACCATTGATAAGTAGTGAGTGCATCTTGTTTGAGGTTGAGCTTTTTCATAGTCATCTGAAAAACAGTGCTTATTAGCCTTTGGAAATGAGATAATGGAGGCACAGATTATTATTTCATACTCAGTCATTAAGATGTAAAGGTTGAGTGCTTGTCCACTTCCTGGGATTTAACTCTGCCCCGCGCAGGAGCTTGCCCGTTTACAGGAGGGATTTTTGTCTCTGAAGTAAAAACTACTGTAAACTTCATCCTTTGATCATGAACTAAGGCATTTCAAATAGCATAAAAAGCAAAGAAACTTTAGGTAGAAGATGCTGTTTCTTCAGTGAAGGTCAAGTTTATGATTTTTGTCAGCCATGTTGGAATAAATGGGCTAGGTGATATGGTTTGGCTCTGTGTCCCCACCCAAATCTCATCCCAAATTGTAATTCCCATGTGTCCAGGAAGGGACCTGTAATCCTCACATGTGGAGGGAGGGAAGTGATTGGGCGGTTTCTTCCATGTTGCTCTCCTGATACTGAGTTCTCACGAGATCTGATGGTTTTGGAATCAGAATGTTTGGAAATTCCTCCTTTGCTCTTCTTTCTCCTGCCACCATGTGAAGGTCCTTGCTTCCTTTTCACCTTCCACCATGAATGGTAAGTTTCCTGAGGCCTCCACAGCCATGTGCAACTAAGCCAATTAAACCTCCTTCCTTTGTAAATTACCCAGTCTTGGGTATTTCTTCCTAGGAGTATGAAAATGGACTAATACCCTAGGTTTCCCTTGTTTAAAATGTGTTCTTTTGGGGCTGTTAGGGAACAGATAGACTGTTTCATATCTGTCTAAACAGTCTTGTGGTAACAAGCCAATACTACAGAATATAATTAGGAGAAAGAGGAAACAATTTAGATGGCATTTGACTTGCTCCTCAAAGCATGGTCCACGGATCAGCAGCATCTGCCCCCCGGGAGCTTGTCCAGACCGTCAAATCTAAATCTGCATTTAACACACCCCCAGGTGACTCACATGCACATTATATTTGATAATGATGACTCCAGAACCTTCTCCACAGGCCACCATTTCATTGAAGAGGAGTGGGAGATGACACGTGAGACCCACAGGAGGACACATTAGAAGCTGCATTTGCACAGCTTTTTGAAGACTGATATATAAAACTAATATTAGGAATATATCAAAAAGGGCAAATGAACCCAAAGAATCATTTCCTTAACTTAGGAAAAACTAAAACAGAGGTGTTACATTTCAACCCCCAACTCCCTTGCCGACAAGATGCACATTCCTCAATTGCATTTATTTTGTGAAACAGGGAAAATATGGATGACATATTTATCGTGACTTCAAACTAGAATTCTATTGATCTGTAGACAGTTGCAAATGTAATCTCTTTATATCTAACAATGACTTTGTACAAAATGAATGTTTTTTCTTATGTAAAATAGTGTTGGATAATCTCAGGTTTCTTTCAGCTCTGAGGAATATTCTAGGGCCTCACAAAAATTCTAAGAGGTAAACAGAACTGGCACACTTGTTTCCAGAATTCTTTTTTGTTTCATATTGTGATAGGGAAATTACAACAATATAGGACTCAAAAGACTAGGGCACCAATTTCAACCACAATGTTCTAGGCTGTCATATAAATTTATCATATAATTTTTAAGTAGCTACTATAACCTAGACACCATTTGGGGCCTGAGACTTGAAATAGGAGGGAAAAATATATATGGCCTATTGCTTCTGAGGCTTTTGAGTAGTGGGGAAAGGCCAGCAAGAATCACAAACTTACTGTGATATGTGCTACCAGGGAGAAGTATAGGGCCATGAGGAGGACAATTAGGGATTAATTTGAGCCAGTTATTTTACCTATTAACTTCTCACCTACAAAATCACCAATAATTTTTTTTTTTAAATTAAATGAAGTAATGTATGTGATAGTGGGCAGTAAAGGGTTAATGTAGCAGTCCCCAGTTGGTTATTCCAACCCTGCACATTCTTCATTCCTATTTTTAGGATGGGCCTATGGCTGGCTTCTGGGATATGATCTCTGGGACCTTTGGAATACTCTGCCTGTTTCTGTAAGTCTGAGACCTTGGGCCATGCTGTATCCAGTTGACCAGATACATTAATCCCAACAAAGGATAGCCCAGCAGGAATGCCTGTTTTCAGTCTGATGCAGCCTGGAGCCTGAGTAGCTGAGTCAGTCCTGGGGGTGCTGCATGCCTACATGACTGACCCCCAATAAAAACCTTGGACATCGAGGCTCAGGGGAACTTCTCTGGTTTACGGCACTGCATGTGTTGTCACACGTCATTGCTGGGAGAATTAAGGGTGTCCCCATGCAACCCCACTGGGAGGGGCCTTGGAAGCTTTTGCCTGGACTCTCCTGGTCTTTTATCCCTTGTGACTTTTCCCTTGGCTGATTTTAATCTTATTTCTCACTGTGGTGATACAAACTGTGAGCATAATGTGTTTTTCTGAGTCTTGTGAATCTTCTAGAGGATTATCGAGCTGGAGGGTGGCCTTGGGAACCCTTCCATCTGACACTGCCAGCATGTGCTAAGGAGTCAATATGTTTTATGTAGTAAGAATGTATAATTCCTGGTCTTTTCCCTAAATGTCTGTCTGTCACTATGGAATCTAAGAGAATATCCTCTTTATCCAGTCTCGCCACTCACATCCAGAATCACTTAAAACAACAGTACTTGTCAGACTTATCTCTGTTATGTTCTGGTAAATAAAAAATAACCAGGGATCATGTGAATGTATATATTTGAAGGAAACTGAACTCCAAAGGAGGTGTTCCACTATTCATCGTTCTTAGTTGCTTTCAAGGGCAGAATCAGCCCTAACATGGTACATGGAGGAATTTTCTGGAGAAAAAATTCCTAGCATTGAACTACTAGACCATGCCCCTTTTTTCTTGTCTGTAACTCTCAAACTTGGCTCTCTATGAAGGCGTGACTTTGAAATGCCACTCTTTCTTCCCACATGATGTGTGAAATAAATTTACCAAGTCAAAAATTATGGAGATATTTTACTTTAAGTGTAGACACTTTAAGATAATTTTTTTGTGGGTCTCTAGATAAAATTTTGCTACAGATGAATTAGTTGACATCTGGCAGTTTTGTCCATCTTCACAGCTGTATAATTTCATTCTCACTAAGTTTTACAATATTGTGTATACATATTTAATAACCAAATATTTATTCTCCTTGAACACAGAAATTTTAAACTTTCAGTAATGGGGTACAGTAAGGAGCATGTTCCTAAAAACCCAGTGGTATTTCTGTTCAGTATTTAAAATTTAATGTTTAATTATAGAACATAATGAAATTCTTCAAAGCACAGCTTTTCCACAGAGCAGTTAAAACCAATTAACACTTTTATTCTGTTAACAGTTTAATCTTTATTGTCACTTAACAATGCTAGAATTTCTTTTTTTTTTTTTTTTGCTGCTATGAAAAGATTGGTTACTCTGAGTCAGACTTTGATCTAAGAAACTGGGCAAAATGGACAAGCAGTTTGTGAAAAATAGTACAGAAAAGTCAGTAAAGCAATAGTACAGAAAGTCAAGAAATAGACCCAGTTCATATAATAGTTAAATATATGGTCAAAGTAGAGTCTCAGATCAGTTAGGGAAAGCTGACCTCTTCAACAAACTGGTGAATGGTAGCCATTTGGGAAAAAAATTTGAATCCATGTTTCTTCCTCCATTGATAGAAATTCCAGAGAAAGCAAATGGGGGAAAAAAGCACCATAAGAAAATATCAAAGAATTTCTATATGAACTCAGAAAGGAGAAGGGATTTCAACTGAGGATTCAAATAAAGTCACAGAAGAAAAGACAGATGAATCTGCCTGTGAAAATACTTTTTAAAAATAATAGAAATCATTAAGACATAAGACAAAAACAAGATGGAAACTCAAAACATTAGTTTCCCTTGTTTCATCTAGCAACATATTTTAGAAATTCAACTACTTCAGTAGTAGTTGTAATAAATAATAGTATTCAGTGAAGAATAATT